AGCCTCTTGGTTGCCCATTTTCGAAATAGTGATCGACCCATCAGACAAAGTTCCATCATTGAAATAACCCCGGGCATAACATTTACGGAGGATATTGAAGGGGAAAAGATTTCTGGGTTGATTTAATAGCTTCAAGATCCATCTGAGCAAACCACCAACAGCGTTCGTACATTTCATAGTTTAGGAGTTTAGGGAAGTTTAGGAACCTGCCTAATGCTACTAGACTACCTAACCTATAAGTGGGACCATTAGCAGGCAATAAAATGGACACCGCTTGCAGTTTAGTGGCCGCGCTAGCGCTTCTTCGAAAAGTCGATGATGCTGATGACGGCGCTGGACTGGTGGAAAGCTGCTGCTGCTGCCGCGACTGCTGCAGGAGATCCAGAGGGGCGTCACCCTTGTAACGCAATCGTATTGAGGGCTATCCCCACACTGAATCCCGGTGGTATTACTACACCTATACGGAGTACACAGACAGGCAGTCCATCGCCCTGTGCTCCGTAGCCGCCGAGGAGCATTGATGATTGATTGATGGCTGCTGCTGCTGCTGTTATTGTTGGTCGCCAACTGCGTTGTCCTTGCAACGCTGGCCGACACACAGACACAACAATATACTGAACTAGACATATACACACGCACAAACCCACCGCACGCTTCCATCCCAACTACTCAATGATTACGTACTCCTCAAGGTGAAGGTGGTCAGGCATTCCCACCTAGCTAATGATTCCTCCGACAGACGGTAGATCCGGATAGAAGGACAGACCATCCATGGGTCGTTCTCACACGTCTTCTTCCTTCCTTCGCTGTTCCGCCTGGGCTTTGCTTCCACTGGAGAAATACTCGTTCTTCTATCACTGCATTCCCCCAGACTAATTGGATAGCGTTCCTCCCCTTCACGCTAGAACAATTACTCCATCGAGAGATTGTCTCAGAATGAATCTGGCGGTGTCAGAAGTCCCCGAAAAGGAGTCATTCCCCTCCTCAGCTCCTCCTCCTCCCCCTCTCGTCAATCTGATGGTTTCGACTTCTCCCGACTCGGTTGGTTGGTCACCGACCAAATACTTCCCCACAAGGCCCTGAAATTCAGCGTTTGATCGTTTTGCGAGTAGACTTGTCTCGGAGGCACTCCAGGGTTCATGTAGTGTCAGACCCGACCTAGCTCCCATATCCTCGGTGTTAGCTATACACGTACAGCGTATAAGCGGTCTGTCGGGATGTGTCCAGAACAGTATGCACTACGTCGGGCATTGATTGCACTCACACCCACCTTTACCCGCTAGATCTACTGTGTACAGTTACTTACATTATAGCGGTATTGCAGCCGAGATGACGATAAGCATCAAGCACGGCCGCATTATCGCCCCCCCTCTCTGATCATCAGCATTGGCCAAGCCGTACTCGATGACATCAATGTAGCCTCACTTTCTGTCTACTACGGAGTACTAGCTACAACCACGGAGAATTAACAGAATCGGCGGTCTGCACACCCGTCCGCATTCTCACTCTCATTCTCGTTATTCTAAGCGTCCGATTCTCCAACCGAGTGGAGCGGTGGCCGGTCGCTGTACACACCACTACTGCTAGCGTTTGGGCGCTAATTGCCCTGCTTGCCGGGCCTCCATCGTATCCCTGGAGGCAGAGGGCTCATTATAGTTATGCTCGAGAGTGAGCCGTAGGTATGATGTCTTCCCTGATCTGCCAAGGAGTGCTGTATGCAATGATCGCGGTTATTTGCAGGAGGTTCTGTAGACGCATGGGACTAATCTCTTACTCAGGACATGACCTATTCATGAATACCAAGCCCGACGTAATGGTTGCGGTTCTGACCATTACAGATCAGTTGTCTTACCGCGCATCACCTCCACACTTGCAGCTTCCAAGTAAGCTCTTTTTGACGCAGAAAAGTGCTTCCAGCCAGCTGCAAGTCCTCCGGATCCCGACCAGGCCACCCCCGGCAGTACTCCACCTCCATGTGCCTCGAGTCTGTGTTGTTGCTATGCAACACCGCAGGTAAATACAGCGGACACTTGCTACGCCCCAGGTTAACCCTTCAGACGAGTTTCCTAAATGCCCGATCTTTTACCTAGACCGTCAGACTAGATCATGATACGTACCTCAATTTACGTTGAAGCAAACGAGGTGATCTAACCCCCTTTCCCCCGAGTGCCGATCCTTGCGCAAGCCAGATAGACGAAAGTATAATTCGCCTACCCCAGCCGTCCTTGCAACATCTCCAAAGATCATGCGATCAGGTGCCAGGTGAACGGTTATAAGGACCTGAGTTGGGGTCTTGGCTTTGGCGCTAGAAAGATCATGGAAGCATCCCTGCTAGCGGTAAATTCCACCGCTCTACGGGCTCTACGATAGTTTATAGGTAGGGTAAGTAAGTATAGTACAGTACACAGCTCGACTGACCTACCTCTTGGGGAGATGGCTCAGAAATTCTCAGAGCGAGCATCAGCCGCTTCAGCCAACGTTTCAAAAACCGCACAAGACAGTTGTCAACTCAACTTGTCGCGTAAGTAATTGACTAACGATGGTAGACTATGATAGTTCCGATGCTATTACAACAAGCAGGACCCTCAGCGATGATACAGACCAAATACCGACCCTGCAGGCGGGGTGTCGTCTATCCCCAAAGTCGCCATGTGGTTGTATGTATGAACCATCGAACACCACACCTCTGCCTTAGCAACATACCACCGCAACCCAACAAGAGTGAAGCTGCATGCGGCGGAAGCATCCCTCCCTCTCTCATTCTTCATCCATTCTCCATATGTACTCAGTACGATGCACAATCCAAATATCGCACCCCACATTATCCACTGAATGGCTGGAAGTCAACCCCGACCTGGCCCGCATCTCTGCACCCATAGTCAATAATCCAAGCCCTGCAGTTACCCCTGGCTAGAGAAGTATGTAGCCAGATGTATCATGCACGGGGGAAGGCTCATGTGGACAGATCAGATCACCGGATTCGCTGAGACACGTACTCCGGATTCGCGCACCAAGAAAAGGGTACTTTTGGCAAGCCAGATCTACACGTATTACGCAGCATACCTTCGTGTACCGTACATACATCCCACGTCCTTGGGAGTTAGCCGACGCAGGCGCGCTCTGTTCTCACTGTAGGAAGGTATGCGCATCTTGACCGATCAACTGTGCCTCGCCAAGAGAGAGAATGACAAGTTGACCGGGTTCTCATGGTCGGAGATTAGCGGCAACGAACTCTCATTATTGGGATGTTCCTCCCTCGCGGGGTTGTGATTTCTGACTTTTTGCCACTTCGCATTCCAGGAGTCTGATCATGTGCATGTAGTCCAATGCTCTCGTATGTCTTTTTGACCGGAGAGAATCCGATGTCTATGTGAGAGACATTGCGCTTTATCTTTATCGCCTTCCACGTATGGGTAGCGGCTCGAGTGGTAACTCTTTACCTTCCCTTTCCATATCTAGTACCGGTACTCCGGATGCAAAGATCCTGACGGGCCACATCAGACAGTCGATCCGTCCATCCGATATCTCCAGATCAGACGATCCAGTGCTCTTCTTTATACATCTGTTTTTAATTCACCTCCCCTCCCAAAGCAACTTGGCCTGAAGCCATGGTACAGACCACGGAGTAGAATACCATAGTTTCGCAGCTCGGCTAAGCGACCATCGACCCTATAATTGAGTTGTTCTAGAAAGCGACCCGAAAATGTGACAAGCGAATCGTAGGTTTGAGCTTGGTGGATCCCCCCTTCGCCAAGCGGAACCGTGTATTTTTGGTTTTTTTTTTTCCCCTTCTTCTTCCCCCCATCCTTTTTCTACTTCGTTGGTGGGCTTCAACGGGTGAAGATGGGACAGTTGTGTCAGAATGAACTGAACTTGTGTACTAGGAACCAGTAGATGTAGTCTAAGCCGGGCTGGGCCGAGTTGAGTCAGGCATATGCTCGCCGCTCCAATTGATTCCATCAGGGTCGAATCTCGGATGAGCTCTGTAGTTCGTTCGGCATGTGCGATGCGTTCGAGAAAATTGAGAGATCGGATTCATCGGAGGGAGTGATCTTGCTGCAAGATCTAGACTGCTTTTAGGTTAGTTTGTCATGCTACTACTCGTAAGTCCAGGACTAAATAGGTACCTTGCTTTAGTGTGCCCTTTTCTGGCTTCGTGCAGATGTTGTATCATTGGGGCAAATAATGCATATGATGTCGATGGTCATGAGCTTTGGATGTTCGGTGATAGATCATGGCTGAAGTGGAGAGTGCAAAGATACCATCAGACCAGATACATGTAGCAACATTATGCTGGTCTGGGTTTTTCGCCGTATCTTTTCTACATCACAAGACGTTTGTAGAATGGGTTGAGACTCTTGGACCTGATGTTCTCGGTGGCGACTTCTTGATTCCCTGCTGTTCTCTACACAGACCTAGCGCAATGCAGCATAAACAAATGTCGGGAAACACCCCGACCGTCTATGTTCGAGACGTAGCAACTGATTGATTAATATTGTGCAGCGCTTCGAGAACTGTGACATTTCAGTCCGTCTATACTATAGCTCTTGGCAATACTTCGAGGCTGAAGACAGAGCTGTGCCGTTTGTGCGTATTGTTGCCAGTGCTCAGCTGGCCAATTTCGCAGCTGTGCGCTTGCGCTTTCTCTTTCCATGATGTGAGCCATAATAGCATGCTAACTACAACTCCACGCCACTTGTGCTTCTTACTCCTTTATCTAATGCACATGTAGTATCAGCATGCAGCTTGTTATGCCTCGCGTGCCTGATCGGATATACTATCAGGGCTTAAGCCAATAGGAACAACAACCCGCGATGCAAACACTGCAAAGTGGACTCTTCAAGTTTTTTTTGCCCGCATTATGGAGATTTTCCCCCGCCGCCTTTGGAAGCGGCCGCGCTCGAGACGGAGTTCAACACTCCCAGGATTCCAGGCACGGGGATCTACTTTTGTGTCCACTGTTCACTGCCCCTCACTTTGTGCAGGATCACCCAGCCATCATGGACCCCACGTCTATTCAAGAGCAAGTGCGCTCGCACGATGGTGTCGACACGACCCAGGAGCCTCCCTCCAAGAAGGTCAAGTTGGACGATGCGCCGACTACCAATGCACCTGCAGCTGCAGCTGCTGATGCCGACCCGCGGCTCAAGGGTGTCGCTCCGATCAAGGCTGAGTATGCGACCCGTCGCAATCTTGCTGTAGCCGATTTACCAACGGTCACTGACCTTCATATCCAGGTACCTTTTGCCGCGGTCCGACAAGAGCCAGCCCACCCCGGAACAAGAGAATCAGGACGATGCCGCCGAGGCCGCCCACCACGATGGCCGCAACAGCAACAGCAACAATACCGAGATGAAGGCCCACCAGTACCAGCAGAAGAAGAACAAGAAGAAGACCGGCCAGAACACTAACCGGACCTTTGGCCGGTCGGAGGATGCAAAGGGTCTCTGCCCCAGCCGCATGTTCCAGCCCGAGTTCTCCCCCGCCGAGTGCAGCTTCGGCGAGAAATGTCGATTTGAGCACGACCTGCGCATCTACCTGAAAGAGCATAAGCGGGAGGATCTGAACACCATGAATGGCGTTTGTCCGGTGTGGGATACTCATGGCAAGTGCTTCTCCGGCTGGAAGTGTCGGTTCGTGGGCTCGCACTCGGAGGAGCGGGAGACGGAGGACGGGAGAAAAGAGCTGGTTCTCCTCGAGGATGAAGAGCGCAAGAACAAGGTGCAGCGGCTGGTCCCCCAGGCTTCGGAGGAGGGCGTGTTGAACATCGCCGCCATGGACGATAAGCTTGCGCTGGCCCGGAAGAAGAAACATCTCCCCAAGGCAGAGGCGTATTCGAATTGGTTGGAAAAGACGAACAAGGCCATTGAGAAGGATCTCCACAAGCGCGACCGGGTTGGGACCACGGAGGTGGAGGATGGGTCCAAGGAAGAGCAGGAGGACAATCGCGCTGCCTACGTTGAGCCCCCTTTGCTTCCGTCTGAGAAGCGCAGGCTGTATTTCGGTCCCGAGACCCCGGCCTTGGCTCCTCTGACGACACAGGGTAACATGCCCTTCCGCAGACTCTGTGTGGAGCTTGGCGCGCAGCTCACTTATTCGGAGATGGCCATGAGTCTGCCATTGATCCAAGGGCAGAAGTCAGAGTGGGCTTTGATGAAGGCGCACGAGTCGGAAATTGCTCCCCCGACGGTTTTCCCTGGGTCGGACATTGTGCAAGACTACGACAACTCGAAGGATATGAAGTTTGGCGCTCAGATTGCGGCCAACAAGCCCTGGCAGGCTTTCAAGGCCACAGAGGCACTGTCACAGATGACCCCTCACCTACGTCTCATTGACCTGAACTGCGGCTGCCCTATCGACCTTGTCTTCCGTGAAGGTGCGGGCTCTGCTCTTCTCGAGCACCCGTCCAAACTCGAGAAGATCATTCGTGGCATGAACACCGTTTCCGGGGAAATCCCCGTCACCGTCAAGATCCGTATGGGAACTAAGGACAGCTCTCCCAATGCTTTGAAGTTGACCGAACGCCTTCTGCTTGGAGGCTATGAGTCTCATCTGTTCGGCGGTGGTGGTGCCGGAGCGGCCGCTATCACTCTTCACGGGCGGAGCCGACAGCAGCGGTACACCAAATCCGCCAATTGGGAGTATATCTCCGAATGCGCCGCTCTTATCAAGCGCCTGAATGAGAAGCAGGACGAAATCGCCGACACCATCCGGGAGCCCGATGCTCGCACGCAACCCAACGGCGGGAAAGTCTGGTTCCTCGGCAATGGTGACTGCTTCTCTCACCTTGACTACGATGACCATATTAACAATGCGGGCGTCGACAGTGTCATGATTGGCCGCGGAGCTCTGATCAAGCCTTGGCTCTATGAGGAGATCCAGGCAGGCCAGTACCTTGACAAGTCCTCGAGCGAGCGTCTTACATACATCGAGAAGTTCGCCAAGTATGGTCTCGAGACCTGGGGGTCCGATGAGCATGGTGTTGGCACGACTAGACGCTTCTTGCTGGAATGGCTGAGCTTTGCCCGGCGATACGTGCCTCTCGGTCTGCTCGAATACCTCCCACCCCAGATCAACGACAGACCTCCGGCGTTCCGGGGCAGAGATGACATGGAGACCTTGATGGCGAGTACTAACTACAAGGATTGGATCAAGATCACGTAAGCACATCCATAGCTGGCTGTCAGGTTCGTGGTAACCTTATTCGATGCTGACTTATCACTTATAGGGAAATGTTCCTCGGTCCTGCCCACAAGGACTTCAAATTCGAGCCCAAGCACAAGTCCAACTCATATGACGAAGCGGAGGGTTAGATTTCATGTAGCGCCTAGACTAAGCCTGAACAAATGTGAACACCTTGTACATACTACCACTGTCATATCCAGACTTGGCCGGTTTCAATCTTTACCTAGTAAGGGTAAACTGGGGAGATATTTTAGGCCGGCTATGACGCACTTGGACCGGCACTATCCAGCAACGGAGTGGGTCACGTGATGCGCCTCAGCTCCGGGCGGTGATGACGTCTGTCCCTCACCAGAAAACTGCAAAAGACCACCTCATCCCCCGTACACACAACAGACATTCTTCTTCTTCTTCTTCTTCACAAGCATCGATCATCCATTGGTGATTATACCGGGGGTCTTTATTCCGGTTATCTGTGAAATTATCCGTCTTTGATATTCTACGGTACCAAATCGCTCCGACAGCTCTTTATCCTGCCTAGCTACCTATCGCACCTTCACCCCTCAATCAAAGCTTGAACGAAGCGTCAGGCACAACATCGATCCCACAATCAGTAGCAGCGCAACTACTTCATCAACCTATACAAAATGACTCTCTACTACAGTCTTGTAAGTGTAGATGCCCAGATTGCAGTCCCCGTGGACATCCTCTGAGCTCGGGATAATGCTGCAGCCTGCAGCCCCCTGGCCATCGGCGCGCGGCACTCCTCCCAAACCTCAAGACTGGCTTAGAAACGACAAATGCTTACTGGATGCATATAGGTCTTCTGCCTGTTGGTGTTCGAGATGGCGGTCTTCATGGGCCTCATCATCCCTCTTCCGTTCACTGTGAAGAGGAAGCTCTTTGCCTTCATCTCAGAAAGTCCTATAGTGGCCAAATTACAATATGGGCTGAAGGTCAGTGTGCCCTGTACTTATTCCACGCTCAGTAGCGAGCGGTCTAACTAAGACAAAACTCAGATCACATTCATCTTCATCCTCATCCTCTTCATTGACAGCGTCAACCGCGTCTATCGGGTGCAGCTAGAGTTGGCTTCCTTCAAGGAGGGCGGTCCCATGGGGTATGTATCCGGCTCACGCCTCTTCGCCATTTCACCACAGACGAGCTAATACCCTGATTCTCAACCAGCGCCGCTGCCCTTGGCACCGACCGCATGGAAGTCCAGGCCCGCAAGTTCTACTCGCAGCGCAACATGTACCTGTGCGGCTTCACTCTCTTCCTGTCTCTCATCCTCAACCGCACCTACACCATGATCCTTGAGGTTCTTCGCCTGGAGGACCGCGTCAAGCTTCTGGAGGGCGACAAGCGCGCTGGTGGCAAGGACTCCGCTCGTCTCGCGCAAGCCGGCGATGTCGGCGAGATCGGCCGTCTCAAGCAGGAGCTCGAGGCTAAGGATCGTGACATTGAGACTCTGAAGAAGCAGTGCGAGGGTCTCACGGCCGAGTACCACAAGCTGGGTGACCAGGTCTCCGCTGGCAACAAGGATGTCGCTCCCAAGAAGGATCTGTAAGCGAAGGACAAGGCGTCACCGCAACGTGCAATAATCTCAACGATTTCTTGCCGATGAGTGTGTTGCAAATTTGGTGGAAGATCGGAGGTCAAAATCAGGGAGACAGCAGATAAGTGGGGATAGATGAGGGGCAGGACGGGGAACACAAGTAGTTAGGAATCGCTTTGCGCCGTGAGACGTGATGATATTCATCGCCTGTATCTCTGGCGGGGCTTATCTAATTCCTTCCTTTCGGTTTCGGCATTGAGGAGATTCAACTGTGACTGTGAGGGCTGAGCGAAGTGGCATTTCATCTTTTTCCAAGGTCTATCATCATTGTTCCTGGCTAAGTGGTCATCTGTGAGCATCGTGTGCCGAAGCAGCCGAGTTCCCCATGAATGCCGTAGGCATAATATGATTTTGTTGTTATAATCACAATGAAGTTAAGGAGGATTTGAAGGTTATTTCTCTGGGATCACTTTTTCCCACGCTTGAATCTCAAAGAGGATGAAACTCGATTTAGTGGAAGTAGCACGTGTCCGACGTGTTATTTAGTACTATATAAGAACGATTTCAATGATATCTGTCAATTGAGATGGGAGAGAAGCGCTTGGCTTGCATTGAACATCCTCCGTCTCTTCAGGGTTCTACAACTGCTCTAGAGATGTGGTCTCTCCTTGCCATTTCGCCCCCAATTCTCTGGGTATATCAGGTTGTCAGCAGACCTGGCCCATGAATATTATTTCTCTCATACCACTACAGATATCTCTCTAGTATGCACTTACCAAGTGGGACAGGTAATCTTTGCCAAGTTCGCAAGGTGAAATGGCTAATCTATGGGGTATATGATCTATTCTTACCAGACAAGGACACATCATAACGAGATGGAAACATCACTTCAATTACTGGAAGCTTCCGCTTTTCTGGGGCAGCCCGAAGCCCGAGGTGTTGGAGTTGCACCGCGCTGCAGCAGTACGCTTTGCCTAGAACCCCAACACGCAGAAAGAAAATCAAGCACGTCTTGGCTGACAGCAATCAGACAGTTGATTGAAGGACAGCATGAGCCTATTTGACGGCTTGCTTCTAGATCAACCATCTTTCCCTGAGGGTTCCTTATTGACAAGCTATCGCTAATGTTGCATCTGCCTTCAGTAACGCACAAACCTCCGAAGGTGTGGCCAATTGCCCTCTGCGTGTGGCGAGACCCAGCTCGGTAACCAGCAGAGCAACATTCCAAACCACTCACTGCTGTGGTCTTATCGCGTGTGAGAACTGCGGAGCATCTGAGCTCAGTCATACTAAGAAAGTCCAGAAACTCGGATAGACAAACTCCTCCTCGAAGATCCGACGCACTTGCGCCAGAACAAACCGCTCGACCTTGCCAACGTTCTTCAGGACCTGCTTTCCGTCCTCCTTGCGACCGATTTCACTCTCCACCCGGATTTCCTCCAGTAATCCTCCATGACGCTTGGCGGGCTCCGCCCGCGGTTTGTCTTCCTGCCCTCCAGCGGCATCTTGCTGATCGGATCCGATCAACGCGTCGGCATCCTCGGGTGACAGGAAACAGAAATGCACCCGCTTGCGAATGTATGCGATCACCGCGACGCCGTCGAAGGTGATGCCAGTCACATTCAATTTCAGAGGCAAGCCCACGAAACTAGGCATGGGATAGTCCAGAAGGATCTCCGCAGTCAGCGACAGGCGCACGTCCCCGCCATATTTGACATGGCACAAGACCTGGAAGTCTTCGGGCCGGCGTTCTCGCAATCGAGGCAGCCGAAGAGACTCCGCATCGGCGGAGTCGCCGAGATGTCCGTTCTCCTCTGTGCGTGCCATGTGAACGCTACCACCACCTGCTGCTGCTGCTGCTGCTGCTTCTCCACTACCGTTGTTAGACCCAGCCGGATGCGAGGGGAGCGTGCTCGATGTCGACGGGCGTGAGGTTGGATTACTGCTGTCTGGCTCGGCTTCGGAATGTTGCGAATGCGCTGCATCGAAGGGTGAGGATGACAGGGGCCCTCTGCTCCTTGCGCCCATGCTGCTCGGATCATTCCAGCTGTTTGCGAACGGGTTTCCGCCTGCAACCGCAGCCAGAGGCGTCTGTGTTCCCGATAGGCCACCCAAAGACATCAGGTGATAGCCCAGTGTTGACGTTCCTCCGGGAATGCCAGGAGTGCCGGCGCGAGGAAGGAAGTGCGGGTTGAGATGGTCACCGAGAGCTATCGGGGAACGCAGAGCGGATGGCTGAAACCGCTCATCGAAGGGATTGCGAAGCGGCTGATGCATGGCGGTTTCATCTCGGAACGGCGGCTCGCTGAGCTCTGAGCCGGTGCGATGCCACTGAGTGCCATGTCCGGAGACAAGCTCCTCAGACACGTCGGAAGCTTCATCGTCTTCATCCTCCTCATAGAAATCGGCGAAGGGTTCACAGAAGTCTTTGATCTCGAGCTCCGGGGGGATGGTTCCGAAATCAAACGAATGGACCTGAACGGATCGGATAAATCGCGGAAGAGCTACCTGCTGGAACTTGTCATGGATGAAGGAGCGAATGCGCTCAGCCAGCGCCTCGCCGTCCGGACCCGAGGTCGCTGTGCCCCAGTCAACTTCAATGGACATCACATGTGCGAAAGCGGTCTCTATACAGGGAAAGAGTTGTAGAGCGGGTATGAAGCAAGGGGGAGACTAAGCTGATGATGGGATGAGATGAGACGGGGTACGAGTAAGTCGGAAGAGCCAAGCCGATGATTGGGAAGGAAATCGTTCGGCCTTGTGTTTGTCCGCGGCGGTTTCTCGGCGGGCCTGTGGCAGTCACGTGGTCTGAGGGTATGGTGACCGCCTTTCATCATCATCAACGACAAACTATCCTATGCTTTCAATGAATTTCCACAATGCCTCGTTCTAGAGAATCTCGGAATCACCCCTGCTACTGGGTCTATTTGACTATACCACGCTGAGCAAGAGACTTTCAAACTACTGGTGCTTGCCCACATCTGCATTCCGACCAGCACAGAGTGACCCCTAACCGGCACAGACGGTGAGCACACCGCTTTGGGTTTACTGTCCCAGCAATCTGGTTCTCCCTTCTCCTAGGCCAAAGCACTGGTCCTGCGGCGCTGTTCTGGTCATTACCCAAGCTGTGCGCATTGGCTGGCACATCCTGGTGGACCAGGATGCTACCATGGTTCAGCGCTGCGACACGGCCGCCCTGAGACCACAAGGTCAGACTCTATCACATCTCCCCACCACCCTAAGCAAACTCGGACCCAACACTGGCGCATCTCGATCATGCCTACTATTGGCTCTTGCTGGAGCTTCTTGAATGCCCGGATGAAGTACGGACGACCAGGGTGGTGTACTGTACAGTGGCGCGGCACAAGTGAAAAGACAAGCATGTCTCTCCACAGCTTAGATTAATCCCAAGGGCTATTCGTCCTGGCTCCAGAGACTTAAACAGGGATCAACAGCCGGTTGATTCCTGCCTCATGGCGCCAATCTCTGTGCCGGAATCTCTCCGCATGATTTTCCGATATGATAGCCTACCAAGACGCCGCAACTTGAGCGCCCGCAAGAGCGCCACGTAACGCTGCATTTCTCCATCCGGAGGCTCGTTATTATACTGTACCCAGCACAATGAGTAAGGACCTGCCAGTCCAGTCGCAGATATGAAGCAGCACCATTTGAATCATCTCTCGGGAATTCTTGAGTCCAGAGAAGATACCATTGCCTTATGACGCCAAGGTCGATCGTTGGGCAGCGCGCAGCCAGTCGGTCCTAACCTAGCGCCTACCGAAGTCAGGCTCCTATTGTCCGCTCCCTTCCTCATTTGTCATTACTCCTAGGCGCGGTGCTTGCCCGCCTGCCTGCGCGTGGTAGGTGCCACGGACAGTTCCGCGAGCATGCTGGCACCACTTGTTCCCTCTTGTTCGCCGCTGCTGCAAGGTCGACAAGTCGGCAACACCTAAGGTGCTTGGTATCAAAGTCATCACCTGGGTCTGTGCCCCAGTTTCTTTCTATGATTTGCCGGTAGCGCCATCAGGTGATGAGTGGCGTATGCGGTGCTAATGCAGCTCTCTCGACGAACCCTTGCACTCCAACGTCAAGGCTCGGACTTGGGGGGGTCGGACGACCGACCATGAGCCTGCACACATCCGCACACACGCTTCCCAAGAATAATGCCACTTTTTCGATGAATGAGGGGACTCTACAACAACCCGCCGTCAAGTCACAGGAACGTCCGTACCAGGGACAAAAATAGAATAGATAGAGCATTAGAATGTGCACCAGCCCAGCTACGTAGCTGTAAGCTTCCAAGCTCCCCAGCCTTGGGGTTGGGGATTCGTAGCGCGGGTACCCCTTCTCTTCCATCTCGCGTCTTAGACTGACTGATTGATAATTTAATCGACCCGATAACCCGGCGTGTCCTCTCCCCTCCCCCAAGCAAGCAAGCAAGCAAGCTACTGAATACGTAGTAAATAGTCGAGTCGCAGGGGTGATTTCGGGATCATATCCACAATCTATCCCTCCCTACCTACTGACCAGGGGCCTAGTAGTACCTGCTTGGGTCGGACTCCACCTGTTCAGTGCGGCTCCAACTCCCGGCCAACACCGAACGTGACTGCCGGTCGAACCACGGTTAAGGCAGACCCAAACCCAGACGAACAAAGGGGACAAGACAAGCTGACAACCCTGAGCAACGAGCGAGTGGATTTGCCTTGGCCCACGGCGCTGGGACAGCCACGCTATCCATGGGACCGCACCACGGCTATTTCATCACACATCCTTCGTTCTCTTTTGCCTTTTCCACCTCTCGTTTTCCCCTCGCTGCAAAAGGAAAGGGCAAGGGAGGGCGTGGAGAAAACAACGTTTCCACAGTGAAGTGACCACAATGCCATTTAGAGGATCTTCAATGGAAGAAGTCTGATGATGATCACGAACCTTTCCGTCCGTTGTTAATTTCTACGGGAATGGAGTGGTTGATTGACATGTAGCTGGGTGGGTTGGGCAAATACGAGATCCGAGAT